TGTAGCACGTTGCCACGGTTGCCTTAATACCGTTGACTATAGTAAGTACTTTAAAATGGTGGCCTTTCTTTTTTGCCCACCACGAGCGTCAACGTATGTTGGAAATGCGTGATGCGGGACTTTCTTGCTTTGAGGAATGAATGGGGGGGTGTGATACGAGCACAATTTTATAGTGTTTAAAATAATGGTTTCGCATTCGCTGAGCTTAAAAAGACTCATATATCCAAGAGTAGTTCGGCTTTGGTTAAAGGTAATCCCTCTCTCACTCTTAGGGATAGGTTTCGATCCCAAGCTTTTTTCGATGATGCAGTCTTTATGTAGTAAAGGCTTCCTACAACGGTTGTTAGGACGTTTGCGGTGCGTTCTCGGCTGGCCTATCCTTGGCGTAGATCTCATTCACATCTTAATTGTTCACTTAAATTAACCCCCATTCAAACGTTCTTCTTACTAAATAATATTTATGATTTAGCTTACTAAAAAAAAATCTACTTTTAAATGTTTCTTTACAGATTCTCTAACGCTAAAGATCTTATCGTAGACTTTTGGTGAATTGTTTTCAAACATTTCCAACACAATTCAATTAATAAATCGACCAAATGAGTGTCGAAGAGAACTATTCTGTTCTACAAACTTAAACGTCGATTTCTTAATTAAAACTATAACAAACTTGTAATGGACTGGCTATTGGCAACACCGCAGTTACATAGCGCCTTCTCTTCATTGGGTTCCCTTGAAGGGGACACCTACGTTGTTGGTCCTGATGCGTTAGGTGAGTATAACTGAAATAACATTGCTCTCTCACACCACACATACAATATCAGCATACATACACATATTCACTGCTTTCTTTATTTGCTCTCTCTTTTTTATTCTCACTACTATTTAACACACGGCTTGCAGCTATCCTGGAGGAAATAAACTATAAACTAACCTATGAAGACCAGACGTTACGCACCTTTAGGCGCGCCATCGGCTTCAGCCAGAATGTGCGTTCCGATCTGATACCGCTGCTGGAGAATACCAAGGATGATGCTGTACTCGACTCGGTCATACGCATCTTGGTTAACTTGACTGTGCCTGTTGAGTGCCTCTTCTCGGTAGATGTTATGTATCGCACCGAAGTCGGCCGACATACCATCTTCGAGTTGAATAAGCTGCTCTATACAAGCAAGGAGGCCTTTACCGATCCGAAAAGCACAAAATCTGTTGTCGAGTACATGAAACACCTGCTCGAGTCCGATTCGAAGCTGTCATTGCAAAAATGTGACAAAATCAACAATTGCTTGCTGTTGCTGCGCAACGTTTTACACATTCCAGAGACGAATGTAAACTTGGTTATGCCCTCAGCACATTCTCAGCAGGGCGGTTCGCATCCGGTGTCGATGCAGAATGCGATACTCTGGAACCTTTTCATACAAAGCATTGACAAGCTGCTGCTCTACCTTATGACATGTCCGCACCGCGCCTTTTGGGGTGTCACCATGGTGCAGCTGATCGCGTTGATGTACAAAGATCAGCATGTCAGCACACTGCAAAAGCTGTTGAATTTTTGGTTTGATGCTTCGCTATCGGAGAGTTCGGAGGATAACGAGAGCAATACCTCGCCACCGAAACAGGGTAGCGGTGACTCTAGTCCCATGCTTACATCGGATCCCACTTCTGATTCATCGGACAATGGTAAGTTCTGCTACACATTTAAAATTGACAATGTAAGGGCAGAGTTCGAAATGCTGATGCCACCAGCAACATCAAATGCCAATTTACGAACACAAATAGGTGCACTAAATAGTCCTATTTGTGTTTTAATAGGTAGCAACGGCTGCAAGAACGAGAGCGCCGAAGATCGCCGGCAGGCCATGCGCGAGGAGGCCACGGAAGCCATGTTGCAGGAAGTTAGCCGCAAGGGACACGAATATCAAAACTCGATGTGTGACGCGCAAGTGAAAAAGGAGGATTTGTGTAGAGCTGACAATAATGTCGACTGTGAACAGCCATGCAGATCGCCAACGGCTGTCGATTTGACACTCATACACATAAAAGTCGAAGCAATGGATGAGATGGCCGATGGTGATGAAGTTGAACGAGGCGGCGGTTCGGATGAGTCGGCCGACTCAAAACAACCTAGCCGTATGATTGAAGATAGCGACAACGAACAACAACAAGAACAACCAGCTAAACGCAGTCAACACACTACCCTCAAGCCGAAGAAAATCGACGCAGATGCGACAAAATTCAAAGCGCCACCAGTGGTAGCGAAATCCAAGCAGACGTTGTCGGGCTCGGCTTACATGAATGCTGATGAGGCCAATCCGATGCCGAAGCTTTGCCAAAAGGTGCCGCATGCCGGCCAGCTGAGCCTAACAAAGGGTAACAGTGGCCCTCAGAAGCGCGAATGCCCCTCCTCACAATCGGAGTTATCGGATTGCGGCTACGTTACACAAGTGGAGAATCAGGAATCCATATCCACCTCGAGTAATGACGATGATGGTCCACAGGGCAGGCCGCAACATCAGAAACCACCGTGCAACAGTAAACAGCGTAGCAAGCAGCGAATTGTGATGGCCACGGTGGACAAGAAGGATACGCGCCGAAAGAAGCTCGTCAAGCGCAGCAAGAGTAGCCTGTAAGTTTAGTTTGATATTAGCGGAAGATGTACTTAAAAATATGTTGCTTATGTGTAGTTAACACACATTTTCTCCATACTTTCAGTATCAGCATGAAGGGTCTGGTACAACACACACCAACCGATGAAGATATCTCGAATCTGCTCAAGGAGTTCACAGTCGATTTCCTACTCAAAGGCTATGACTGCCTGGTGGGCGAGTTGCACTCACAGCTGCTGACCAATATCGTAAGTATTAACAAGTTTAGAGAAATTAGTACTTGTAATACTTAGTAGTGTCTTCTTTGTACAGAAAATACCCATCGACACATCACATTTTTTCTGGTTGGTCACCTACTTCTTGAAATTTGCCGCTCAGCTGGAGTTGGATATGGAGCACATTAGTGCAGTGCTTACCTATGATGTCATCAGCTATTTAACTTATGAAGGTGTAACACTTTGCGAGCAATTGGAATTGAATTCTCTCCAGGAGGGCAGTGATCTGAAGCCATATTTGCGACGCATTCATTTGGTCGTAACGGCTATACGAGAGTTTCTGCAAGCGATTGAGACCTACAAAAAAATAAACCATTTGAGTGAAGTGAGTAGTAGTCTTAAGATCTTTTAGTTTCTAGTTTGTATTAAAAGATTCGCCACATAACTCTGGTTGTGTAAGAACTATCTGTAGGTCGTTTCTTTCTCTTCCTTTGGTGGCACAACTTTCTTGAGTTATACATATTTACATTTAGAATCTGTTAATTTTTCTTGCAGGATGATCGTTTACACTTGCGACGCCTACAAAGTCAAATCAGTTCCACTGAAGATTTGCTTTGCCTATTCGTTTTACTTTTACGACGATTCAATCCAAATCTGCATACCAAACAGTATCTACAAGATTTAGTAGTGACAAATCATTTACTACTTTTGATTATGGATTTCATCACACAAACCGAAGGCGATACCAGCATCAAAATGACCGAGCATATATCTCAGTGAGTATATATGTAGTTTTTAGACGTGATACCTTTAAAAACTAACAGTTATGAAATTGAAACTTTTGCAGATTTGCAACACTCGAGATAATGAACTACTATGGCATGCTTTTGGAGGACTTCAACAATAATGGCGAGTTCGTTAACGATTGCATCTTTACAATGATGCATCATGTGGGCGGTGATCTGGGTCAGATTGGCACGCTATTCCAACCGATTATATTGAAGACATTCTCGCGCCTTTGGGAGACCGATTATGAGTTGTGTGATGTAAGTTGAAGAGTTCACTTTAAATAGTTTCTCCTGTATGCATGTGTGTAATATTTTGCCACACCTTATTAGGATTGGTCCGATTTGATTGAGTATGTCATACATAAATTCATAAAAACACCACAAAAGAGTCCGCTGTCGCTGCCAAAGGCTTCACTCACCGAACTAACCAAGGAGCACAACTTGGAGAATACAATGTGGTGCGTGTAGAATACTTATGCCGAATTTCCACTAGGCATTGAAATGATAAAAAATGTATGCAATTTAAAAAATGCCATGTGGAAATGAACTTTGTCATTACAAGTTTTGCCATTTAATGTCTAGTGGAAATACAGCATTATTTTTAGTTATTCAAATTGAAAAATTTTAACGTTTTTAAAATATTTTTTAGCGCTTGGACTCAGGAGGAAATGGACACGTTGTACTGGTACTATGTGCAAAGCAAGAAGAATAATGATGTTGTTGGCAAAATTGTGAAGCTATTCAGCAACAATGGCAATAAGCACAAGTCTCGCATTTCCATTGTACAGCAGCTACTGCAGCAAGTGAGTTCGCATAACATCGAATAATTTAATGAAAGCTCGCTTATTTCAAAATTTTCAACTCTTCCCTTACAGGATATCATAACCCTAGTGGAGTATGATGATCTCATGAAATTCGAAGATGCCGAGTACCAGCGCGCATTACTTACCACACCAACTTCGACTTCTACCGAATCGGGCATTGACTTAAAGAATTCCTCAAGTTTTGCTAAGCCTTCTGATGATATACAGGTATATTTAGAGTTTGATAAAAGCTTTGCATAAATACTTATTATTCAATTTGCCTCTATTTCTAGATTCTACGTGACCTTATAGTTAAAGAGAATAAGGAAAAACATCTGGTTTGGTTGCAAAAAATATTGCTTGAGTGTTGTTATATAAAGCTGATTTTGAAGAACTGTTTACAACGTGAAGATCGACAGGATTTGCAGTATGTTATGGAACCAGTGGCCTATCATTGTATATGTAAGTATAAACGAGGGTTTAGAGCGAATTTAAGGAATTAGGATAAGCATGTAAAATACATCTGATACACTTCTCAGCTGTGTCATGAAATTTGTGATGTACTAAGTTTCAA